ATCCTTCTGGAGCCCCATTGTGAGCCAACTCAAGTCCCAGAGCCCATAGGCAGAGATGTGCTCATAAATGATCACATTGGAACTCAGGGCCCAGTGCCAGGGATGGCCACTGCCTTCAGGCACCTCTACTACTAAATTTGTCAGAAATCCAGTTCATACACACCCTCTCAGGAACACACCTACAAGATAGTGCTGGACAAACTTACATTGGAGGCAGAGCCAGGCAGGGTTGCATTCCTGAGGAGCCTGGACAGGGGGCTCACTGTGCTCAAGGAAACTTGAGAAGCACATGGAGAAACAAACGCTGGGGCAGTTGTCCCTCAGGGTCGCCACAGCAGATCTCAAGATGTGTTTGTTCATTTCCTCAGGTTGCGCCATGCGCAGGCTCTGCAGCTGGGATTTATTTTCAGAGCACTTCGGAATTTGACAGATTCTCATGCCTCCTGCTTCACAGCTGAAACCTTTTTCTGTTCAGTTGATGATAAAGCAAGTGACAGTTTATACTAAAAGGGCTGTAAAAGATGCTGTCTGTGAGTGAGACAGACAGATGTCAAACCCAGAGCATCAAACAGCAGAGCTGTCTCCTCTGCAAGGCCACGCATATCTCTCAAGTCGAGTGTCACCTCCAGGGGGAGCTGAATCTTAGGGTGCACACCTTGCTTTGAAGTTGCCTATCAGCAGTGGACACAAAGATGACTGTGGTGTTGGTGTAGACAGTGCATCCTGCAGAGCCCTGCTCCACATCTACAGAAAGCTGCCATGCCCTAGGATGCTGCAGATGTGAGAAGAGCAAGCTGACTAAGCCTGATCCAAGACTATACATGCTGGATGGCCCTAGGACAGCACCAGAGAGCCAGTTCAAGAAAGCACTGTGTGCCACAGGACCGTGGTCCAGGAAGGTTACTAGGTGACCTCCTGCGTTACACACACTTGTCCTCCTCTGCCTCCTTCCTCCTTTAGAGCAGCAGACCCAGGCTGAGAGATAGTCTTCCTCGGTGCCCCTTTCTTTACAGTGAAAGGAACCCGCTTTGATGGTTGATTACAGAGGAGGGGACTTTCGGACTAGTTTCTCACATTCTTGTTTTTCCTAACACGTACCTCCAATTGAAAACTGTTCACTTCTATACATTCCTTGTGCTCTCGCTCTTCTCTCTCTTCTCATCTCTTCTCTTCTCTTCTCTTCTCTTCTCTTCTCTTCTCTTCTCTCTCTCTCTCTCTCTCTCTCTCTCTCTCTCTCTCTCTCTCTCTGTCTCTCCAGACTGTAATGGCCTTTGCCTGTGTCCTTCTTTGTGTGTAGGCTTCTGTGTTGTTGGTGCTATTTATGATGGCTGAGGTGACAAGTAGGTTTTATGATGTTTGGAGTCAATCGGGCAAAGGGACTGTTCTGCTTAGGAATGAGGGGATGGCTGGGAGGCTCAGAGAGGACAGAGGACAGAGCACAATGAGGAACCATGAATTATCCTGGGTGTCTAGTCCCCAGGCAGTATGGGGGAGGATTGTGAGGTAAACGGAGGCCAAATTTTATACTTCCATACTGGGGTGTGGGGTATGGATTTTGGAGACTACTCATGGGAAGCATGAGAGGTTTTCAAGGAGGGATGTAACATGCCTATCTTTATGTCACATGTGAACTTGCAACCTCCTGACTGCAAATCACTTTGTATATGTTATATGACAGTGAACCTGGGAGTGAGGGCTTACCCTCCATTATGCAAAAAAGAAACTCAAAGACCCATGAAGCTGAGTCTCTTGGGTTACAAAAAGATAGAGTCATGACCATTTGTGTGTTGTCAGTAAGGCATTCTGGTGGCAACACAGGATATGTAAAAGCAGTGAGTCTGAAGAAAAGGATGGTTTGTTGAAGGTCATGTAGAAAGGCCATGTCGAAGGCCAGTGGAAAGGACAATGAGACAGAAGCATGTACAGGAAAAGAGTGTGTGGGAGGGACACTGACAGGATGCTGGTGACTGATGAGACATTGGAGGGACACTTTCTGAGGCTATTCATGGTCTCAATCACTGTGTAATATTAACTTAATGCTCACCACAGCCATCCACAGCAAATCCTGTTGTCTTCATTTTGTAGATGAAGAGGCTAAAATTAGAGTCACACAAGAAGGGATGAGGTAGGATGTAAAGCCAGATCATCAGATCCTGAAGTCCATGCTGTGTGTGTGTGTGTGTGTGATGAGTGTGCACATGTGGGGGGGGTACATAACACCTGTGCATGTGCACGTGAAGGCTAGAAGAAAACGTTGGGTATTCTGCTGTATCACTCTCCATCTTATTCCTATCTCACTGACCCTGGTCCCCTAGGCTAGCAGCCAGAAAGCCCTAGAGACCCTCCTGTCTCCACACTGTGCCCCTCGCCGGCTTTGGCATTACAGATGGACACATAGCTACCAGTCAGTGCTTTTACCTGCTGAGCCATCTCTCCTGCCCCACTCCTGCTCTTCAATGTAAGATTCTCGCCTGAGCAACTGAGTGGTGGAGGTAAGGACCATGGAGAAAGGGCAGCTTTAGAAGGAGATGCGTTTGTCTGGACCTGTAAATGAGAAAATGTCTATGAGATCACCAAGGGACCACTGGATACACTGAAGCTTCCAAGAGAGGTCTGACTGCCTAGTACTTCCTAGAGATGCAGAGAAAGACTCTGTTCAAGGCCATGGTGAGGGCTATGGGAGCCACTGCAGTAGAGTCTTGTAGTGAGAGAAGAGATTGGATTCAGTTTTGACCCCTGCAAAGACAAGTGGGAACGTAGAACCAAAGAGCAGAGTGGGGACTAATGGGTGTGAGTTACTAAGTTATTACTAAGAAGATACATTGGAGTAAAGAGAATTCTTTGCTAGACCCACTCAGCTGACTTCTTACTGAAAGCAAGCTTTGGTGATAAGGTATCAACAGAAGTCATACCGAAGTGGGGATTTTTGCTCAACTGTGTTACTCAGCTTCCCATTACTATGATAAAATACCTGATCAGAGTAAAGGTTTATTTTGGCTTATAGCTTTGGAGGTTCCAGTCAGAGAATGGATCCACCCATTCTCATACTCAGGCCCTGTGATAGGGTGCTAGATGGTAATGAGGGGAGTGTGGGGCAGAGCATACCTGCATACCTCACAAGCCAAGTCACACGAGGAAGAAGAGACCATGGTACCATAATCTTCAAGGGCATGCCCCTGATGACCTAAGGACCATCCACCAGGCACCACCTCTTGAAGGTTTCCCACCTTCAGTAATGCCATTCTGGGCACCAAGTGTTTAAGACATAGGCCTTTAGAGGACACTCGCACAAACCACAGCAGTGAAATAGCAGGAGCCTTTCTCAAACTGGACACTTCAGTCCAGAGAAGGAAGCCCAAAGCTGAACCCGATTAAGCAAGGGACTCACGGTCCCAAAAGATTCTGGTCAAAAGGGAGTATCTTTGTCTTCTAGAGATGAGTGTTGTGATATCATCAGTGTAGGAGGTGGTAGAACAGAAATGTCGTCAAGGGTCTCTCAAGGAGAGTGGGAGACAGGAGGGCCAAGGCCCAGCACCAAGAGAGGGTGAAGATTGAGGAAGAGGAGCCACCACCAGCAAATAAGGGGCTGGAGGACTCGGTGTCCCAGAGCAAGAACAAGAGGAGGAACAGGTTGAGGAGAGGGACAAAAAGGAAAAGGCTAAGACATGTCTGTTGCATGTAACAGAGAAATTGCCCTGTGGCCTCTGCTAGGCAGTACCCATGGAGCTATAGTGAGTAAAGGTATGTTGTGGATGGATCACCTTTGGGAGGAAGCCAAGCTTTAGACTATAAGTTGAACAGAGCAATCTGCCCAAAGATAGAGGGAGAGGATAGCACCGTCTGGGCCAATGAAGGTTTCCTTTGTTCTCTTCCCCATGGTGAGAGTTGTGATAGTGTATAAATCCCAGAGGAAGTAGAGAGCAGGCAATGCAGATGTTAGGAATTGCAGAATGGGAAGGAGTCAGTGGATGGAACAGAACCTCACTGGTGTGGGGGACATACAGGAGAGTCATCTGAGATGTGAGTAACTGGGTAAGTGAGACCAAGGGGGCAGAGGACTGAGGCTGCACACACAGGAGGGAGAGAAGGGCACAGACACTATCTAGCTGTCTCGTTAGATTGCATGTCTTACATCACAATGCTGGTGCTGCTGTTGAGGGTGTGATTTGGAAGGAGCCAGTGAAGCTGCCTTGTAGCTGTACAGTTAACTATGATGATGCAGCCCTAACAAGCAAAGGATGTGTAGGAGGAGTAGACATGAGGTCACTAGAACCCAGAAGTGACTGTCAAAACCTTGGCATGGATAAAACTGTGCTACATGTATAGAATGAGAAGGAGGAAAGATGACAGATGAAGATGAAGATGATGGAGATGAAGAGGGAAAGGACCAATGGGAAAAGGGTAGAGTGTTGGACTGAGGAGCCCAGGTTGGGAGGGGTTTTGTTTTGTTTTTAAAACAGCGTCTTCCTTTGTATCCTTGACTGGTTGGGAACTCACTATGTAGACCAGACTAGCCTTGAACTCACAGAGATCTGCCTGCCTCTACCTTTGGAGTACCAGGACTAAAGATGTGCACTACCATGCCTGGCTTGGGAGGATTTTTGTGCGAGGGATCTGTGTAGTCAGCAAAGTCCAGCAAAGCAGTCAGATCAATAAAGGAAGGATGTGCTTTGGATTTAGCAGTGGGAAAGTCTTGGAGACTGTGGCAAAGGCTGTTTGCATGGAATGGGGGAGGAGGTGGCCAGACTGAAACAACTTGAGGCTCAGGCATCTGACAGAACAGCTGGTAAGTGTAGACTGCTCTGAAGAAAAGAAGGCATTGCGAACTGTATGGATTGTGTCACACTGAGTTTCTGCCAAAGAGAGCTGGGAATGCTGAGAATCCACATGTGGCCTGGCCCTGCTTGACCTGGCGTGGCAGAGCTTTGGAAAGCGTGGCTGTCTTCCTCCTTCACCCTGGTCTCAGGCAGAGGTTGACTACTGTCCTTCTCTCTCCCTAGGCCGTATCTTGGACCTGAAGACTGGGACGGTGAAGAAGGAAGGGCAACAGTCATCCATGCGCATGTGCATGGGCTCTCGGCGCTCCTTCATCTGCAGGATGAGGTATGTGGGTAGGCAAGGTCAACGCCATGGGATACTCTCCCTCTGACCTGCCACTGGCATCCATGACCTCTTGTGCTCACCCTTACCCTAGAACTATACCCAGTCCTTGATCTGTCCTGAGTGAGAACACCCCACTCTTGCCTCCATTGCATTTCACCACTTACTACCCTCTGATTTCTGATTTATACCCGTATATTGTATTATCTTTTTCTTTTTCTTTGTGTGTGTGTGTGTGCGTGCGTGTGTGTGCACTCGTGCACTGGGGACTGAACACAGGTTTCTTGCATTTACTTGCCAGGCAAGTGCTCTACCACTGACCTATTGACTTCAGCCCTTAGTTTTTTTTTAGGGAAGTATCTCTCAGTATAGCCCAGGCTGGCCTGAAACTTCTGATCTTCCTGCCTCTACCTCCTATGTGCTGGGATTACAGTCAGTTGCCATCACACCTGGTTCATATGGTGCTGGGGATTGGTCCCAGGGTTTCATGTATACTAGGCAAGCACTCTGCTGACTAAATCATATCCCCAGCCTTATTTATCAGTATTTTAAGAATAGGACAGAGGCTGTGATTTAAAGCTTTGACTTGTTTTTTACATAAGAGATAGTTTCACTTCTGTAGCCCAGATTGGTCTGAAACTCACTGTGTACCAGGCTCCAATTCTTAATCCTCTTGCTTCAGCCTCCTGCGTAGCTGGGATTACAAACTCGAGATACGTTGCCCCAGCTGATTCATGACTTCTTTGAGCCTCCCTGACTCTTAACAGAGTGTTCTGCATATATGGTTATTGCTTGTATCTATGACAGATTGGGTCCAGAACCCCTCAAAAACTGGAAAATCTGGATGGGAAACAGGGAGGGAGGTTGCTTGTTTTGTGTCAAGAAAAAGAAAGCTAGAGGAGGCTGTTGTGATTATTCAGGTGACAAACGTGATAATAGCAAATGTGATACATATTTTTGAGATGGAGCCAGCCCACAGATAAGGCATAAAAAATTAGAGTGGTCAGAGATGGTTCTGCACTGTAGCCTGCCCTGTTGGAGAAATAGGTGCCATTACTAAGGTGGGAAAGATGGCTTGGAGATGCTTGAGGGTGGAGGGGAGTGAATGCCATTTTGAGTAACTATGGAATCTAAGGGAAGGAGTGGAGCTAAAGATGGACTTGACTCAGGGATGGATATTGAAAGGGTGCCTAAGGTTCTAAGACTGAGCCTCAAGGGCAGGAAGTGGAGGCAGTGAACATGGGATATTGGAAGACAGTTCTTGGGGCTCTGCTATACTCGTGGCAGAAAGGCTGAGTTAAGTAGGTGGGAGGGAATCAAAGAGGGCTAAGGAAATATCCAGGAAGAATGAGCCATCAGCTACCAAATGCTGCTGCCAAATCCCAAATGTGACCACTGTGGCTCCATGGCTGGACCTCAGAGTGAGAAGCAGAGGAGGTAGAGCTGCAGTCAGTCAAGTGAGGCAGACCTTCCTTCCTTCCCCAGAGCAGGAGCCTGCGCAGCCCACCCTGGCATGTGTCCTCTGAGCTCTCCTCAACACCTCCTCTGAAAAGTCTGTGGGATTCTGCACCTGTCTTCACTTAGTGCCAACACTGCCCTCAACACCAGCTTTTCCTCCTCCATTCAAGTTGTGTGATCCCAGTGGGCTGCAGATTCCAGGCCAGGCACAGCAGAGCCATTGACTGTAACTCTCCTTCCATTATCTGTGACCAAAACTGTGACTTAGCACTTGTAGGTCTTGTGGGTGCTATAAAGTTCCAAACAGAAAATTCTTTACAAGTAGCATTTATTTTTCCTGATTCAAAGTCATCTTTTAGAGCAGTATGTGTTTTAATGAAATCTCTTGACCTGGGCTGGGAAGAGTGCTCAGTCAGCAAAGTTCTCATCTTGACAGCACAAGGACTTCTATACTTGGAAGCCACATTAAAAAAAAAATCGTGGTGTGGTGGTGTACACTGGTAATGCCAGCAATGGGGAAGTAGAAACAGGTGGGTCCCTGGGGCTGCTACCAGTCAGCTAGAGATCTTGTCTCAAAAAAACAGGTGGATGGCACTTAAGGAACAACAGCCAAGGGTATCCTCTGACCTCTACACAGATGTGCCATAACCTGCACACAAATGTACATGTATATGCATGCTCATGCACGCACACATACACAAACATGTTAACCACAAATCAGATCACCAAAATTACCTGTGGTAAGGGAAGCCCTACCTTTTTGACGCCTAGAAGGGCCCACAGAGCTGTTTTACAAAAACAGCCCTTCAGGGGTCTAGGGGGAGAGAGCTGTCTTTTCCCTTGCATGTTTCTCTCCAGGCTGAGCAGCTGGAACTCTTCTAGAAGGCCATGATTAAACCCCTTCATCACCTGCTTCAAATGACAAAGTTGTACTGGGGTGACAATGCATGAATGTTACCTTCTATTTGACCTAAGATGTTTTATTTGCTACTTTTCTGTTGCTGGATAAAATCATGACCAACACAAATTATAGAAAGAAGAGTTTATTTGGCTTATGGTTCCCAAGGGATAAGAGTCCATCATGATAAATGGAGGTATGGCAGGAGGCAGCCAGAACAGAGAGCTGAGCACTGACATCTTCAAGGATGCCAGTAAGTGGGAAGGACAAGGCTATTGTATTAGTCCATTTTCTGTTGCCATGATAGAAACATTGACCAGAGCAATTTATAGAAGGAAGAGTTTATTTGAGCTTATGGTTCCAGGGGAATTATAGTCCGTCATGGCAGGGAGGCATGGTGGCTGGAGGTGGCTGGAGCAGGAGCA